GACCAAGGTCAACAAAACCCAGGGCCCTTGTCAAGGCTTTTGAGGATGCGCCTGGGGACAGATTACCAGTTTTGCCACTCCCATTCCTGGACCACCTGTTCCTTTTCTACTACACATGGGCTTCCATCACCTCAGACTGGTGGGACAGTAGGGAGGGGCTATGCTATTTCTTTCCTCTTGCTCACCCCCACACTTCCCTGGCCCTCTTCAGGGACCCCCCAGATGAGCATCTCCTATAGGAGGTGGTGCAACAACTTCTAAGCCCGGTGTGGCCAAGGTGGTCCCTCAGAGTTTATGGGCAGGGGTTTCTACTCCCTGTATTTCCTGGTCCCAAAGGTGAAGGTGGAGGTTCCAACCCATCCTCGACCTCAGAGACCTGAACACCTTCATCACCAAGCCCAAATTCAAGATGGTAACACTGGCATTGATCATTCCCTCCCTCAGTCTCAGAAACTGGTACACTGCCCTCCATTTAAAGGACACTTATTTTCGTTTTTCCATTGCCGCTCACCACAGGAGGTTCCTGCATTTCACTATAGGTCAGGACTACTTCCAGTTTATGGCCCTTCCTTTTGGCCTCTGTGTGACTCCTCAGGTCTTCACGAAGTGTATGGCCGTAGTTGCCATGTGGAAATGCGGGGTATGAGTGTTTCCATACCTGGATGACTGGCTGGTGCAGGGCCCATCCTCAGTCCAACATTGCCATGATTCTGGCCCTTTTTGTGGACCTGGGCCTCCTCCCTGTGGCCAAGTCTACCCTGCTTCTGACCCAGGTCATAGAGCTTGTGGGAGCTCACCAGGACTTCACATCAGCCATGGCCTCCCTTCCCAGGTCCCGCTTTCTGGTTATCAAGGAAGGTGTGATAGCCAAGTAGGCATTTCCTATGACCACAGCCAGGAAATGCATGGGCCTCCTGGGGCTGATAGCTGCCTTCCGGAGTTCCATTCTCCAGGCCCTTCCTGACCCTGCGGCAGGAGACAGACATCTCCGACACCAGATGGGAGGCCCATTTTGGTGATATACAGATGCAAGGTATGTGGATACAGAAGGAACTCTCTTTGCATATAAATGTCAGAGAACTGCGGGTGGTCTGCCTCATGTGCAGGCCTTCCTTCCCTGACTTGGGCAGGATGATTCTCATCCTGTCTGACAATACATCAGCAGTGTCCTATATAAACAGATACTGTGAGGCACGGTCCCCTCCTCTGTGTCAGGAAGCCCTCCATCTCTGGGAGCTGTGTATCAGGGAGGATATTCACCCGATAGTTCCCTACTTCTCTGGGATTCAGAATACTCTGGCGAACCATCTGAGCAGGTCCTTTGCCAGACACAAGTGGTCCCTTAAGGGGGATGTGGCCCTCCAGGTCTTCTAGAAGTGGGGGTTTCCCCTCTTGTACCTGTTTGTGACTCATCAGAACAGGAAGTGCCCCAGGTTCTGTTCCCTCATGGGTCTGGGCCTTAGTAGATGCCCTCACCACCTCCTGGCCCAAGGGCCTGCTCTATTCATTTCCCCTGTTCCCGCTTGAGCACAAGGTGCTTCTCAGAGGGAGGGAACTAGGGTCCTCCCTCATTCTCATTGCACCAACCTGGCCCATGCAGCATTGGTTCATGACTTTGCTGAGCCGCTCTTTTGAGAGACTGATTTCCCTTCCCCTGTGTCCAGACCTCATAATGCAGGCTTCGCCATCTGTACCTGCAGGGACTGTACACCTAATGGCCTGGAAGCTCCATGGCTGACAGCGGCGGAGCTACTGTGCTCAGAATGGGTGCAGGATGTACTGCTGGGGAATAGGAAACCTTCCACTAGAGCTACCTATTTGGCTAAATGGAAGCATTTTGCTATCTGGGTTGCTCAGAAGGGGATTTCTCCTATGGACACCCAGGTCCCACTGGTTCTGGACTATCTCCTCAAGCTCAGGGACTGTCCTCTTCATTGATCAGGGTTCGCTTGGTGGCTATTTCCATCTTCCACATGGGCTTCTGCAGCACAATGCTTTTTGCGCATCACATGATCCATCAGTTTCTGAAGGGACTGGACAGGCTCTACCCGCATATCGGCCAACCTGTCCCTCAGTGGGACCTCAACTAGGTCCTGACCAGGCTTATGGGACCCTCCCCCCTTTGAACCTTCAGCTACCTGTTAATTACTGCACCTCTCCTGGAAGGTGTCGTTTCTTGAAGCCATCATGTCAGCAAGGCAGGTGTCAGACCTAAAGGCCCTTACCTCTGACACCCCTTATACAGTCTTTTTCAAGGATAAGATTAAGCTACACCCCCATCCTGCTTTCCTGTCAAAGGTGGTGTCTCAGTTTCATGTCTCCCAGGACATTTTTCTCCAGTTTTTTTATCCCAAGCCCCACACCTCTGGCAAAGAACAGGCTTTACACACTATAGATGTTAGGAGAGCATTGGCTTTTTATTTAGACAGAACAAAGCCCTTTTGTAAATTCCCTCATTTTTCTGTGGCAATAGTGGAAAGGCTCAAGTCTCTACTCAGAGAATCTCTTCATGGATAACCCCCAGCATCAAGGAGTGCTATAGTCTGTCTGGATTACCAGCCCCTCCTCTCACAGCTCACTCCAGTAGGGCACAGGCCTTCTCCACTGTGTTTGTGGCCCATATGCCTATCTTGGACATCTATAGGGCTGCCACATAGCCTTCAATTCAAACCTTTGCTAACTGTTATGCTCTGGCTCATCATGCTAGGGAGGACATGACCCTTAGTAGAGCTGTCCTCCATTCAGTTGAAGGTGCTGGTGCTGGAAGAGTTCCCTCTGGTGCCACAGCCGCCCCCGCGGTTGTCTGTTGCTCCGGCGACGCTTGTGGGGCTGAATGGAGAGAGGCCAGCTCCTGTGAAGGATGTGCACTGCATGTTTGCACCGAGGCTGCCTTCGGTGCCGGCAATGTTGCTTGTTGTGTTGCCAGTGCCAGTGCACTGTTGTAATTGTTGTTCTTCGAGATATGTTGCTCATGTCCATTCCAAATCCCACTCACTTCCCCTTCTTTGGAATAGTCTGGTATCGAGGCTGGTGGAGGGCCAGCAGGGGTATATATTAGCTGATATAGCGGCACTACTCCAGGGGGCTTCCTTGTTGGCCCAACGGGTACTGTAAGGGAAATACTTCTGATGATACGTGCACGCAGCGTGCACACACCTTTGTGGAATGGACATGAGCAACACATCTTGAAGAACAGTTACAAAAGTAAGTAACCGTTTTTTCTTCTCACATCAATCCTTAACAGCAATTTCATTCCATACAGCACTCAATTTGCCACTCTATTCAACAACTATGGATGGGTATATTTGTTGATGTTTCGGTTCAAATGATCAATGGCAAAATAGTAACATTGTTAAGTTTGAAAAAATTGTCATCATCGGGACGTCTGAGCAAACACTCCACTAAGATGAATTGACAGATAATAGTTTTTACAGAGCTATTTCAGGCTACCTTCAAATTCAGCAGATATGTTACATTGTTTTACATTTAGTTCATATTTTGTAGGTGATCTCAGAAGTCTTGATTTCCAAGTCTGGAAGTGGATGTGGGAAGGAGAGAAAGAATGGATAGGAAAAAAAAGAATGAAGAGGGGCTGGAAAAAGAGATTATGAGTTATGAAGAGAAATAAGTGGATGTGTGTGGGGAGATTGAAGTGGGAAAGGTGGACTGGATGGGGAGTGGGCAAATAAATCCTTGCCTAGCCTCTGGAAAAATATTTTTAAAATATGTTAAGTAACATATTTTAGTTAAATGGTTTTTAAATGGTTTAAAATATGTCAGTCTGCTATGATTAGTTCCTGATGGGTTGAATTTATAGGCGAGGGACTAAATAGTGAATTTATACTGAGTAAGACAAAATAAAGTGAATGAAGAGCAAACGAATGGGGTAGGAAATGGAGTAAAGGAACTGAGCTCGTCCATGTTAAACTTGTACTCCATCAGACCATAATTCTCACACTGGAAAAAAAATCAGAGGTTACTTGAAATAGTGTTTTGTAAGTGTCCTGGATTTTGGAATGAAAAAGACTTTTCTTAAAATAATATTGAGAAAAAGCTAATATACAGTGCTTTTTTTTTTCTACGTTGAAAAGTCTTAAGCATGCAATCCAGTGGTTTACACCCCTATTATAATTGTGTTACAGATTTCACTTGGAAACAGTCTGTGACTGTAAGCAAGGAGAGCTATCAGATGATGACGTCAAAGAAAAATCTTAAAGAATCTTTAATGAATAATTTGACTGATGCAGATAAAAGCAGCTCTTGGTTTTCAGAGTCTTTGAATGTGAACTTTGAATTGGGAGATGAAGTTTGGAATGATTTTGATGATGACAGATTAATACATGCCAGCAGCTTTTTCACTGGTATGGAGAGTAGAGAAGATTTAGGTAAAATTATTTTGGTGTAACTAATTATTTATAATTGTCACTGTCTGTATCAAATGGAGATAATCAAATATCAGATAATCTTCAAATTAACACTTGTCCATTTTCCTGGCATTGTCCCACTGTCCTCATTGTGGCAGCCCCAGTCAGATTTTCACTGCCAGTACACAAAAGGATGGTGAAAGAAGCAGCCCAGCAGAGGCCATTGCCCCTTTCAAGGGTAAACCCGGGGCTGGCGGCAAGCATGACCCATGAAGAGTAACCCATCCTCTGCAAATGGTAGTTGGGGTTCAGCTTCCAGTGAGAAGGCAGAGGCATAGCAAGGTGGAATGGGGGGAGCAGTTGTTCCCGGGCGCCATGCTAAGGGGCCACCACGCTGGGGTGGGAGCAGAGCACATAGCCCCACGCGTCACGGCGAGTGGTGAATGCTAAATCAAACTCTGGAAGATCAGTCACGGCAGCATCAATCTTCCCCATAGCGAAGACATGGCCTAACTCAGATAAGAAAATGCTACCAGTAGCACATTCCTATAAGGTAGCAGCTTTCTACATTACACTGGTGCTGTCGGGCCACGTGCTCCCTGTGCAATCAAGCCTCCAAGCCAGGGCCAGGTGGCAGAAGCAGCCACTTTAAAGATAGGGTTACCCATACCTCCAGTGCCTGGCTCTGTGGGAGGGGGAGGGTGGAGAGGGGGGCACTAGGGGTGCCTGGCTCTGGGGGAGGGACATTGGGTTAGAGTGGGGAAGGTTCCAGAGGAGGAAGGGCATTAGGTTGGAGCAGGGGAGCTGGGAATGCCTGGCTCTGTGGAAGGGGTGGGTGCATTGGGGGTACTTATAATTTTTTTTAAAGGGGTACTTTATAAAAAAAAGTTGAGAAACAGTGCTCTGAACCAGTGTTTCTCAACCATTGGTACAAGTACCTTTAGGGGTACTCGAGAGAAGTCTGGGGAGTACGTCTACACAACTGAAATCTGGAGAAAACTGAATTTTTGTTTTAAGTTTTACAGCACTTTCTTTTATACTTTTTACATCCAAAAATTTCATCACCTGCCCGGCTACAATTAAATTGTTTAAACAAATGTGTTGCAATGGTAGAAAAAAAAATTGTATGTCTGAAAACTGTAGGTACTGGGGGTACTTATAATTTTTTTTAAAAAAAGGGGGGGTACTTACATTTTTTTTTCTTTTTCTTTGAGTGGTCCCTGTGGGTGCTCCACTGTAGGTGTCGGGTCCCGGCAACGCAGTCTGGAGATTTTGAGTAGCCGAAGTTGGCCGGATCATGCATATGCAGTGCAGTCTCGCACCATTCGCACATGTTGTCTTGTGTGCGATCCGGCCCCCTCCAGTTCCTCTCAACCGCTGTGGGTCGCAGACGGAGTTTCCCTGAGTTCTGCATTCTCCTCGTCAGAACCTAGAATAGTTATAAATAGTTAGTTAGTTAGTAGTAGTTAGTTAGAGTTAGTTAATTGTTAGTCGTAGTCATTCTCCTTGTTCTAGTTTAAAAAAAAACACAAGTTTTTCTCTCAGACTGTGTATAATTACGGCTTAAAATCTCCCCAAAGGGGACGAAAGCCCAAGACAACAGTAATTGCAACATGCCAGGTTCCCCTGGCTTCAAGAAATATAATCTCTGCCGAGACACGATGCCGGCCTCCGATGGCCATTCTTCGTGCATCAGGTGCCTTGGTGAGAGCCATGTGCTGCAGAAGTGCTCCCATTGCACTAAACTCATGGCCAGAGCGTGGCGCGACAGGGAGATGCACCTCCGAATGGTATTATTCGATAAGGCTCTTCACCCTGTGCAAGCCGAGTCAATACCTCCTTCAGACCCGGCATCTCCTCAAAAGTGGAGGGCGTCCTCTCTGGGACAGAAAGAAAAGGGTTCTTCTTCGACTGGTCTCTGTGGCTGCTCCACTCATGGTGTCAGGCTTGTCCTGGCACTGCAACTCAGAGGCTTTGCATAGCTGTTTTCAGTATGCAGCACGCGCGGTTCGTGCTCTTTGATCTTCGCGTGCACTCGTCTTACCTTTCAATTCCTCTCAATCGTCCCTGGACGCAGACAGCACTTCCATTCTCTCATCCCCTCAGTAGTTCTTCTTCCCCTTGGGGAACCTATAATTAGTTAATTGTAAATAGTTAGCCATCTTTTGTTGCCTGTTATTCTCTTATCTACTGTGGCGGGGTCACCAGCCCCGTCCCCTTTAACACCAAAGTCGGGTTCTTTAACTGCAGGCCCAGCAGCCTAGACCTTTCTGTGCAGGCCCAGCGGCCTAGTCCTTTCTGGGATCCCCTCGTCATCTGGGATCTGGAAGGAAGGGATAGAGGGGCCCCAACCCAGGGCCCTATCAGTGGCGGGTGGCTCCCACCACTGGCTCAGGGGGGAGTTCTCCCTGAAACTCACTGAGCCCACTGGGTCTTTTCCTGGTCCCTGCCCTGGGTTGCTTCCTACCCCCTCGCCTTGTCCGCCAGTGGTCCCACCTGTGGATGCGGATCTGGTGACAGCATCAACCTTGGCAGGCGTGGCTTGGGAATCCGCAGTGGCTGGGGCAGCGACGGCTTCTCAGGAGGCTGCACCGTGCAGCTGGCGTTGCGGTCTGGCTCGACCCAGCAACAACAGCGGCAGGGGTACCTGGTCCAGCACCTCTAGTTCCAGCTGCAATGGCTGTGGCTCCAGTGTCTGGAGAGAAGCTCCTTCCTCTCCAGTGGCAACCCCCAACTGAGCAGCCCTGCAGCCTTTTATACTTGGGCTGCGGGGGAGGGGCGTTTTCTACCCAATAGACGGGCTCTCCGCCCCCAGTTTCAGTGCAGGGCTGGCCAGCCCCGTCACATATACAAAACAGAGGGGAAAAAAGGACTCTTGTTAGCACTTCATTCAATCCGTAGCTTCCCACGGCTCCCCACGGTCACTGACTAACAGTTCAGTAGGGATTTAACAAACAAACTTGTTCTTTTAAAAGAAAAGGTTTAACCCAGTCATTCCTGGATCTCCAGGGTTTAAAAAGTGTGCCCAGTGCCATGAGCCCATGCCAGTTTCAGACGGGCATTCAGCCTGTGTACGCTGCCTAGGAGAGATCCACATTGCCCACAAGTGTGGGCACTGCTCTAAGATGACAGCCCACACTCATCAAGACAGGGAAATGCATCTTAAAATGTTCCTTTTCGCCAAGGATCCCAATGCAGGGTATGCTGAACAGCGGGGGGGAGGGGGAACCACAAGAGAAGGATTTCTTCCCTCGAGCTACTTGTGGAATCAAGAAAAAAAATCTCCCCTGCCCAATCACTCCCACCTGAAAGAATAGTGGGAGGTAAACTTGGATCCTCACCATTTGGGTTGTGGACTAAAGGGAAAAAGGCTGCGGCATCCAATAGAGCTTACTCGGTGACAGAAGCAGCCTCGGTGCCAACAGATAGCACCCGTGTTCATGGGCGGTGAGTTATATGAGCTCGTGGTGCCCAGGCTCCAGCAATATTTAGAGCTGGGGTCCCTGCTCCACCAATATTTGGAGCTGGGTCTCTCCCCTGTCTCTGAATATTGCTCCTCCCCTCCCCGCTCCCCGGCTCCAGAGCATCCCCAGAGGAGACGACTTGTAATGGGGTGCCCACAGTCCCAATGTGACGGAGCACAGGAGCTCCGCCACTGGTCACGCCACAGCAAGCTGTCGCGGCAGGCTAGCCCCAGCCCTGTGCCCTTGCGGTGCATGCACACACTGCGCGCCAGAGAGGAGTGCCGGGATGCAGAGGCCTTGCCCCTGGGCAGATGCTACAGTGAGCAGGCGCAGCAGGCCAGCCCCATCCCCGCACTCTTGCGGCGCATGCTCACGCCGTGCCGGGTATTTTAAATGCTGGCAGCGTGGCAGATAAGGGGGAGGGAGTCCGCCCGGGCCCGGGGCAGTGGGGTGAGCTCAGGGAGGTGCCCACTCTCCTGCAGCAGCTGGGATCTGGCAGGCAACCCCGCAGGGCGGACGCCCAGGCTCCACAGCCCCAAAAGAAACGGGAAGCAGCCGCCGGAGCAGTCTATGTCCCCTCAATGGACAGCAGGGCAGCAGGGCCTGATCACAAACTCCAGCCCCGCTGCCCCGCAAACTGGAAGGCAGAAGGTGGGGGGGAGGAAAAATAGGAGGAAGTGGTGGGAGAGGAAGAGGCTTGTGCTGAGGGAAGAAGGACAGGTCAGGAGTAGAAAGGGGAAGGCACCAAGAGACAGCGTGGAGAAGAGACAAATGCCAGGGAGCCAAGTGCAGACAATGAGGAAAAGGGCAGGAGGGGAGGTGTCAGTGGGAGGGAGACAGGGTGATGCTGGGCGAGGAGAGGGTAAGGGTATTGGGGGCAGGGGGTGGAGAGGTAGGTGCTGAGGCATCCAATTGTACGGCACTCCCGATAGTCCGGCATCAAAATGGCAAGAGCCTAATGAGTGAGCTTCAGCAAAAACAGAGTCACAAGGCAGCAGCGGCAGCAGCTGAACTGAGCGAAACCGGATGCGACTGAGTCAGTCTGCCACTGGCATTGTGTGACGCTGGACAGTGCTTGTGCTACAATAAAAAGAGTTAAAAACACTTTATATACAGTATATGACACATGTTAGGAGAGGGGATGAGGAGGGGTATCTCATGATCAGAGTGAGGCTACTGGAAGAGTGGGCACGGGGCAGAGAAGGGCTGATGGAGAGGGGCAGGTCTCAGGAGGGCTGAGGGCAGTGAGAAGGGAAGGAGTCAGGACAGCAGAGGAGGGTGAGGGGTTGGGGGTGCAGCAGGCACTGCCCCTTCCCCCTTTGCCCTCTTTTTCCGATGCCCAGCCCCTCACCACCCTCTGCCCCCATTCCGCTCATGCCCCTGTGCCCTCACACATGCCCTGCTCCATCCCTCATGCCCACCCCTTCTTTCAAGCCTGCTCCCAGTACTTCCTCCTTCCCCTTTAATCCCCAATGCCCTTACCCTCTCCACTCCCAGCATCACCCTGTCCCCCCTCTCCACTCCCAGCATCACCCTGTCCCCCCTCTCCACTCCCAG